CTGGCATCTAAAATCCCCCATGCATATAGAAGGTAGTCGGTAGCAGGAGAGGTCTGTATGGTTGTCCCAAGACATTCAAGAGTAGACCAGAAGGAGATAAAGAGTCCCTAGCAGCTGAGACACACAGGGAAGGCACCAATACAGATCAGCAGTGCCACAAATACTAATTAATATATAGTTAAAAATAAAGAGTAGCCATTCGTTTCTGTGTAAAATACGATCATGCCCATTTAACAACCCAGAAAAACAGAACCAGAACTTAAGCTACCTGTCCCAAGAGTGTAGCACAACTCAAGACTCAATTTAGAATGCCTGGGCTTGGATCCTGGCTTGGCTATTTGCTTAGCTGTTTTACAATGAGCAATTTCATTAACCTCAGTGCCTCAGTTGTCTCACCTGTAAAATAGGGATAAATTATAGTTCTGACTTCCAAATATGGTTTGGAGAGCTGAATCAGTTAACAGGTATAAATAAAGCCTTTAGAACAGACCTGGCCCATCACAATCAGTAAGTTTTAATTTAGTAACAGAGTGAAACTGGGACTAAGACCTCCTGACTCCAAGTCAATACCAGTGTTCTACTGTATCCCATTAATTTCCAGGGCCCCAATGCCACCTTTCGTCTATGTCACTGTCATGGTACCCAAAGATCACCATTCAGCAATCTGCCTTTACCCAGGGGATTTCTAAACTCTGAGGCCTCCAGCTATAGCAGAGAATTCAGTTGCTTTTTAGAGGCCTTGGGCAGTGGTGGCCAGGTGCTGAGCCTAAGGTTTCCCTAGGCACTCAACAGGCTGGAGGGCATAGGGAGTAGGGGATGGGAGGGGGTCTTCAGGCCAACAACCAATCCACTGCTAAGACCCTGGTCTCCTTCCCCACACTATTCTCCCCTCATTTTACTAAATTCTACTTCCCCATGCCTCTCACACTCCCAGAGAGAACCTCTACCTACCACTCACCTGTGACCTTATACTGTGCTCACCTGGGCATGTCTTCCGCATGCTTCATGCAGGAAACTGTGTAGCCTTTTCTAATACAGCGCCTGGCTCAGTCACCACTGAACATTGGTGCATAGACAAGACCACCCCCACGGGCCAAGGTTCCCATCTATGTCAAGTTACCTATAGGTACCTTAGGTACAGCAAACGTCAAATAATTGCTGAAGTAGAGCTAGTGTCTTAACAAGTTGAGATAAGCTGGGCTCCCAGCTTTTCCAAATTTCTATTTGGTTTCATGAGCCTTAAGAGTTTGTCCTGCAGTATATATTTTTTTTCTGTCCTTAGGCTCAGTCTGTGCTTTAGAGAAAGCACTAGAATTTCTTGAGTTTGACAATGAATTCTGGCTTGCTTGCTGTCTTCTTCTAAGTGGCAGTAATCCTAAACTTAGTTCTAGCTGCATTCAGGACAAGGTCCTTGAGCAATGGAAACAAGGAGATAAAAATTATAGATGTCTTAACTTTTTGTGAAAAGTATTCAAAAGTTAAATAGACACCATCCCATCAACCAAATAATTTACAGGATTGCTAATCTGGTTTTAAAAAGCCCCAGGGGCTGGTTTGAATGCTACCATTAACTCCTTTGGGGCAAGTCCTGTCCCTTTTCTGGGCTTCAGTTTCCTTCCCTGTGAAACAGAAGGCCAGATCAGACATCTAAGACTGCTGTAGACTCTCTGAAGCTTCTGTTTTCTACATAATGCTCTAGGTAGGACTTGTTTGGTCTATGTTCAAAGATAAGTCAAGATTACTTATCCACACGTTCCTAGGCTCCCTTCTTATAAGCCCACCTTCTCTGCCAACTTTTGATTCTTATTCCTCTTAATTCTGTACAACACTCTGTAAAAAGCCCTTGTTAATGAGCCAACTTGCCTTTTCCTCCTGGGACTTTGATTAGCATTTAAGTCTTCTACAAGTCCTCAAACTTTTCAAATTAAGTTCCTCTGGGGCAAAGAGTGTTTTTTTCCCTCCCTGCAAATAACACTGTAGGGATTCAGTAAAAGTACAGGCATACCTCGTTTTATTGCATTTTGCTTTATTGTGCTTCACAGGTGTTGCTTTTTTTTTCTTTTTAACCAACTGAAGGCAATACTCTCCACCAGCACAAAGATTACAACTAGCTTTATTGTGGTATCTGGAACCGAACCAGCAATATCTTCGAAGTATGCCTGCACGTGGATTTGGATCAATTGAGATTTAAAGGCAGATCAACGTTTTTTTGGTGTTTCAAAAGTATTCTAAGTTGCAGAAGACTGGGAAAAGGTGATGGTAAAGGACTTCCTATTTAATAATAAAGCTGAACCAGATTCCTTCTAGCTGTTACATTTCTGCATGATATCAGTATGCTGTAAACCCAGTGCCCAAGGGCAGATTAGGATTGCTAAACTGCCCGGAAAATGGAATAATTTGGGTCTTTGTTCTCCAGGTTAACATTAAGGAGCAAAAAACCCATCTAATGCCTATTTACTGCTTTCTAAAGTAACGCTTGACATGTAAATTTCAACATCAGTTTCATAAGCCCAGGCAATAGCTTTAGTCTTTTTAATGCTCTATCTCTGAGCCCAACTTTACTTGACTCGTAATACTCAAATACTTAAGACTCCAAACTACTAAAAGGGACATAAAGCAAAATATATTTCTTTAGGCCTGTTTTAGTTCACAAAGGGAAGAAAAAAATACCAGTATTTCTGTCAACTTGGTGTTTCTGACAACACAGGAAATAGAATGTGTTCCATGATAAAACAAGCTTGGGAAACTTGAATAAAAACTCTGAATTTCAAATGGGATGATGGCAGAAGATTCGAAATACAGCCTGAACTTACTGAGGCAGTGAATTCTTCCTTATCTGGAGTACTTACTGACATCCCAGGCTGCACAGCAACCCTGTGACAAAGGTATCCTTATCTTGGGGATAAAGGAATGCTTCGCACAGGTTTGAAGCAATTTGTCGGTCTCATGCAGTCAATTTAGATAGGTCATGGCTGCAAGTAAGTCTAACCTCAAAGCCCATTATATTAACCACGATGCTATGCTGCCACTGTTTACTGTGGAGTCGTGATCAATTCTATAGGTGAGGGAAGTTTGAACAGTACAGTTGACCCTTGAACAAGGGTTTGAACTGCGTGGGTCCATTTATATTTTTTTCAATAAATACTGTAAATGTTTTCAATAAATACTGTAAATGTATTTTTTCTTATGATTTTAACACTTTCTCTAGCTTACTGTATAAGCATACAGTATATATAATATGTATAACACACAAAATATGTGTTAATTGACTGTTATCGGTAAGACTTCCGGACATATATGTGGGCAAGGGAGGGTTGGCACCCCTAACCCCTGCATTATTCAAGGGTCAACTGTATTTATATGTAGGGAGATGAAGCAAAGACTTCAAATTCAGGCTGAAGTTTCAAGACTGGCATCAATGCACTGAGGGTAGAAGAGGATCATTTGGCGAAGTAAATTCCCACATCCCAAGGCAGTCATGTAATACTGAAGTCCACAACATGCGTTAACTGTAGTGGAGAAGACAATCTAAGAATTAAGAGCTTGTAAAATACAGGTGAACTAAAAGAATCTACTGGAAAGTCTTTTCAAATCAAATATAGCTGCCCTGGGGGGAAGGTGGGCTTTTCAGGATGGATGAGGCAGGGATGGGCATAAAAAGTGGAAGCCTATTTTGAAAAAGAACTCTATGGGATATTGATCATGTCCTTCACCCCACTGTCAAACAATGACTTGAAATAGGTCAGGGAGTTCTCCTGGGATGGGGTCATTGGATTTTAAAGTCAGGCAAAAGCTCCAATGCTCTATCCAACACCACCCCAAATCCGACCCATTCAGTCACCTCTAATTCATGCTAGGGTAAGGAGGGCAAAATCACCCATTGGAAAAGGATCTAGTCCTTGAATCAAGACAGATCTAAGTTCACATCATTTAATTTATTAAAAAATTGTAAAGAAACCAGGAGTACAATGTGACTCCCCTTATAAGCTGATTAACCTTCATTAACTTACATTTGTTCATAGCTAATCCTTAGATTATAGAAAGAGGATTTACTCTTAGTATTACCTAAAGTCACTTTTGTAAGATATCTAGGACATAGTTGGGACTCAGATTAGTAACCTCTCCCCTGAGAAAGTCTCCTCAGGCTCTTCAAGCCCAGTGGCCCTCTCCTCTGAACAAATCCTTGGCTACCTGTAGTACGAACAAGATATGAGTACTGAGTACTCAGGATGAACACACTCCTTAATTGTAGTGAAAACCCTGAAACTTCGATTAGCCCTCCCAAAGACTATAAAGGCCTCTTGCCTCACTGAATCCCATCTCCCTATAAATAAAACCACTCCCAAGCCAGCCTCAGAGGATTAAAAAAAAAGATTAAGAATGTAAAAAGGACTAAAAAGTTGTTAGATGTTGTTATGTGACAGCTCTGGGCCCACCTGTGGGGTTATTATTGTGCAGGCCCCAGAGGACTTAGCCAGAAAACCAAGTTTGTTTGACTGCCTTGGGATGAATGACTGGGGGTCTCAAAGCAAAAGGAAGACTAGGAAGCATGAGTTTAGGAAGTGGAGCTGGGGGGTCAGGATATTTGTAACCAGACAGAGAAGGGGTGTGGGATCTAGTACGGTTTTTTCTTTCTGTTTGCTAAAAAAAAACCCTAGAGAGAGGGGGCTTTCAGCAGCTCTTCCACCAACTCTGAACCCAACCCCCTCCACTCGCTGACCGTACTAGACGTTTCATAATAATGGCTCACACATATTGAGCACTTATTAAGACAATGATTAGCACTTAATAAGCGCTTGTTATGAAAATGCCAGCTAACGTTTGCGCCAAGGTCCTGAGTTGAGAGGTAGGCCCAAATAGCTGGGCCCTGAAAAGGAGGGTGTGTCTGGGCCCAGGGTGACAGGACTAGGGCCTAGGAGTCCCGAGGTCAGTTTGAACCAAGGCGTCCACATCACTGGGTCCAGACCCTGCCCAGGAGGGATGGCTCGCAGGGCTCCTACCTTTAAGCGAGGTCTCCACCAGGCGCAGGTAAAGCTGCGAGCTCTTGTTACCGTGGCTCATACGCTGAGCTAGCCCGTTGCGCTGCAGGACGCACTCCTCAAACTGCACCACGTTCTGGTGGCGCCGCTTGAGGCTGGTCAGGGCCCAGAATTCGGCCAGCGCCAGCTCCACATTTTCCGGGGCGTCGCAGCGGATCTTCTTGACCGCCACCCTGGCCCCGCTGCGCCCGGCCACTGCCTCATAAACCACGCCGTAGCTGCCGCGCCCGATCTCTGCCAACAGGCTGTAGCGTGGCCGCGCGGACCCACTGCCGCCCTCCGGCCGCCGCCGCGCCAAGTAGGCCTCGCCCGGGGCCTCGGCCGCCACCGGATCCATGGCCTGGGCCGCTGCCGCCGGCCTCAGCTTCGCGCTGGGCGCCCGCGGCACTGGGCTTCGCCTTTTCCGCTCCGGGCTTTGTGTACCTCTGCGGGCGCCGTCCTCTTTCCCCGTTTCCATGGCTGCGGGCGGCGGGGGGAGCAGCAACGGCGCTGCCCGGGCCCCCCCTGCCTCATCCCTCCGTCCGGCCCCGGGACGAGGAGGAGCGGGAGCTTGGATTGTGACCTACGGGTGAAAGAATCGGTTAAACGACCAGGCCGAGGCGGGGAGGAAAGGAGCGCAGGCCGCAGAGCGTCCCACCTCCTCCTCCTCCGGCCGCCGCGGCCCCTTTAAGACGGAAGCCCGGCTGCTCATAGAATCAGGGAGGGGAGGGGAAAGCGGGAAAGACGAAACCATTGGCAGTGCCTCAGAGGGGGAACCGGAAAGAAAAGCAATTTCCCCCCATTTCTGTTAATTCATCGTGTAGGAATAGGAAATACAAGGACCAATGGTCTTCCCGATTTATTAAAATCTCCTTAAGAAGCAATTCTGACTATGAAAATCTTTTTTCCTGCAGCCCCCCTCATGAGTTTCCCCCTCCCCACGTTCCGCCTTGTGTTCTCCGGGGTGTAAACAGTCCATTGAATTAAGCTCGAGCAGAGCCCAGCGGAATGACCCAAGTCCCCGAGGGCGGCGGGTAGAGGGGGTGGGCTTGAAAGTTAGGCGTCTCGGAGCGCGGCAAATCCAGGGCCCAGTATTATTTCCCAAAGGCCCGAGGCGACCAGGGTAGCTCCAGCCTCGGCACTTACTTTTACTCTGCAGACTGCGTTCTTACCTGGCCGGCGCCTCTCCACTTCCGGGCGGCCCGTTTCCCCCCTGGAGCCTCCGGCTGGGGATGGTCCACTCCCGGCCAGGGCAGCCTTCGGTACCGAGTGGCGCGAGCAGTGGCCAGCAACGGGTGCGCGCTAGAGTCTGCTGCTGCACGGGTAGGAGCAGCGCCGCGCGTGGGGGAGAACCGAGCGTCCAGGCTCCCGCGGCTCTCCACGTGTTCGCGCCAGCTGATCCCTTTACATAACTTCTTTATATAAGCCGCACCTCCCGCAGGCACTCGGGCCAGCGGGGGCTCCTGGTGGCCCATTCCCCGGGAGGCCGGTCGAGTGCTGAGCCGCTCGGGTCTTGCCAAGGTCGACCGAGCAGCCGCAGCCGGGGCCCAATCACAGGCGAGAACACTCAACCTACAAAAAGTAGGCGCCAAATTCCCGCGATCCGCTGCGGCCTCCAGATCTTCGCAGCCGCTTGCGCACCGCAACCTTCTGACCTCGCCAGTGCTGCGTGATTAGGAACTGCATGCAGTAGACGCCTAATAAATACTAATTGGTTGATCAGATTGGTCGATTTGATTGATTCATAGCTCGTTCCTGGGAACCGCGCTGACTGGGTTGGAATCCACAGCCTGCCTCCAATTAGCCCCTTGATCTTGGGTTTATCATTGCTCCAACAGGATCCTCATTTTCCTCTTCTGCAAAATGTGTCGACTGGGCCTAAACTCCTAGGGTTGCATGGGTTTTCGAATATTTTAACTGCTCTGTACCTCAATGCTTAGTAGATGCCCGATATTTGTTAACTCAATCTACAGATATGTATTGCATTCCGATAATGTGCTAGGCACCCTTTAAGTCGCTGGGGGAAAGAGCAGTAAACAAGATAGTCACTTACCTTAGTTGAAGTTCTGTACCACGGGATGGAGACCAGTCATGTCCATCACCTTGGGCAAGTTTCTTGTGTCTGTAGGATGGTTGATTGTATAACAGGTTAATTGTATAACTTAGAACAGGAGAGGGCTTTGCACACGATAAATGTTAGGTATTATTAAATAAATACACGATAACTTTTGACAATAAGTGTGATGGAGAAAAAGAATGAGCTAAAGAGTGTCATGAGATTGGGGACAGGCCACTTTTTTTACATGTAACTTTTTTTACATGTAAAACTTCAAAATTTCATGTAAATTGCAAGAATAAAGAATTCTCATATGCTTTTCAACCAGAAAAACGAATTGTTATATTTTGCTATATTTTCATTATCATATTCTTTGCTGTGTATATGTGTGTATATAAAACATGCGTTTTGTTTTTTCTTAAATCATTTTAGAGGAAGTTTCAGACATGTCCCTTTATCACCATATACTTCTGTGTGTATTTCCTAAGAACAAGGACATTCTCTTGCATAATCTCAATACAATTATCAAAATCAGTAATTTTAACAATGACAGGATTCCTTTAATACATCTTCCATATTTAAATTTTACTAATTGTCCTAACACTGTCCTTTATAGCTATTCCCAAGGATCCAACTCAGGATAACCTGTTGCATTTAGTTGTCTTGTCCGTTCAGTTTCTTTTAATCTGGAAAGGCAGTTAGTTACTCAGCCCTTCTTTATCTTTCACAACCTTGACATTTTTGAAGAGTACTGGTGAGTTAACTTCGTAGATGTCCCTAAATTTGGATTTGTCTGATATTTTCTCAGATTCAGGTTATGCCTTTTTGTCAGGAAAACCAAAGAAAAAGTTTATGTCCTCAGTGTATCTTGTTGAGAGGCACATGACATTGGTTTGTCCTAATATTGGTGATGTTAACTTTAATCATTTGATTAAGGTGGTATGTACCAAGGTACTCTGCAAAAAAGTTAACTATTTTTCCCTTTGTAACTGTTAAGTATATTGTGGGAAGATATTTAGAGACTATCTCATTCTTCACCAGACCCTTACTGATGATAGCATTCATTGATGATTCTTGCCTGAATCAATTATTATTGTAATGGTTGCAATTTGGTGATTGAAAGGCCTCTGTATTAGTCTGGTAGGGCTGCCATAATAAAATACCACAGACTGGATAGCTTAAAAGAAATTTATTTTCTCATATTTCTAGGGCTAGAAGTCCAAGATTGAAGTGCTGGTAGGTTTGGTTTCTTCTGACACCTCTCTCCTGGCTTACAGATAGCCTGCTTGCTGTCTGTGTCCTCATAAGCTCTTTCCTCAGTTTAAGTGTCTTATTCTCTTGTAAGGGACACAAGTTATACTGGACTGGGGCCCCATATTACTGGACTCGTTGTAACTTAATCTCTTCTTTAAAGACCTTGCCTCCAAATACGTTACATTTTAAGGTGCTGGGGCTTGTGAATTCAACATGCAAATTTGGGGGGAGGGTAGGGTTGAGGGAGAGACACAATTCGGTCTATAAACAGCCTCTTTGGAATATGACATTGGACTGAGACCTGACGCTACCCATAATAAAACTAGTGGAAAGGCAGTTCAGGCAGAGGGAACAAGTACAGAAGATGTGAGACAGGAACAAGATTGTTATTAAACTTCAGCCAATTTGGTGAGAATGTAAAATGGTACAACCACTTTGGGGAAAAAAGTTTAGCAGTTTCTTTTTTTAAAATAAAAGTTAAGTATACATTTATAAAGCATTAACTCAAGAGAAATGAAAACTTACATTCAGGAATACACTTACATAAGAATGTTTATAGTGGCTTTTTCCCATAAGCGTCCCCAAAGTGGAAACACTTCAATGTTCATCCGTGAATGAATGAATAACAAGATTGTGGTATTCCTATGCCATGAAATACTGCTTAGAGGGACAAAAAAGGAACGAAGTATTGACACAACAACATGGATGAATCAAAATAATTATGCTGAGTGAAAGAAGTCAGGCACAAAAGTGTACATGCTATATGATTCTATAGACAATTCTTGAAAATGCAAACTAGTTTATAATGACAGAAAGCACATCAATAGTTGGGAAGGGAAAG